GATATATTTTACATATTTTTTCTGTGATTTTTATTGTATTTTTTTATTATTTTTTTTATTATTCGTGACTTTTTTTTTTTCTTTTTTCCTGTCTGTCGTTATGTGTATTGTTATGATTAGATAGATATACTTTAAGGAATATGCCTTTATATGTTGGTGCAGTTGGGGCGGCAGTAGCTCAGTGTGTAGGGACTTGGCTCGGTTCAAGTATGGAGTGTGGACTGGTAGCTGGAGAGGTGGGAGTTTCGCCAAGTTAGCGGCACGGTTAGGTTGCCTTGCTCAAAGGCACCCCGGCAGTGCACAGGAGGTGAAACTGGCACCCCTCCAACTACCAGCTCCATATTGTGGTCTGTGGGATTTGAACCGGTGACCCTCCAGTTCCAAAGCCAAGTCCCTACACACTGAGCTACTGCCCCCAACTGCACCAACATATAAAGGCATATTCCTTGTATGTCAAAGCCAACTTGCTGATAAACCTGATTATTATTTTACTAAATATTGGCATCAAAAGTGCTCTTACTCATTATGCAGTAGTGTCCTGTCAGTGCTTTATTATTAGATTCCTGGATCATTTTATTTGGTGCATTAAGATAAACAGTACTTTAATGTTGTTGTTGATTGAGGTGACATATTTTACCTACTTTATCTGGTAATTTATTTTATAACAATGGAGTATATTTTATGGATTATATTTTGTGTGTAAAATTTTAGTCTATAAAGTAAAAAGCACAACATTTTCCTCAGGAATGTGGTGGAGTCGAGAGTAAAATTAAATAAAATTGATGTCAAAATTAAAATTAGTTAAAATACTAAATAATTGTATCTAGTACTTAAGTAAATGTACTTATTTACTTTCAACCACTATCTGTTTGTGTGTCAGTATGTTCTAAAATTACACAACTGTCCATCAGGCTGCGTGTGAGTAAAAACCTTTTTTTTTTCTATCCTTCCCTAATCAGCTCTCTTACTGAATCCGACCCACATTCAGCTGGAAACATCTGGGTGGAATCCCCAGGTGGAGAGTTTTGACCCAGAATTGTCAGTCTGCTACACACACACACACACACACACTCTCACACACACACACCCCAAATCACAGTCAGTCCCAGATTTTCTGTGTGAGAGATGTGTCTGTTAACCTGGGTTGTGCACTTGGCCTCACAAACCAGCTGGAGTAGTCTGAGATACCACTACGAGCATCTGGATTCATTTGAAACAATGACTCTCCTCTGGATTAGAGTGGATTATCTAACACTAGAAAGGCAGACAAACAGATCACATGATAATATTTCTCTCTCTTCTGTCCTTGTCTCTGTGCCTCTTTCGTGCAGACAGAAGAAGGATGCAACTAAATTTAAACCCTGTCCCTCACCTCTCCTCTACTGCCTCAGAGAAACAGCGAGCCATTAACTGATTGCGCAGCAACAGATTACATTATGAAAGGTTTTGGCAGGTTCTTTGATCAGCCCAATTGACCCAGTTTGGTTTGGTAACATTGGTTAGAGAGCCAAATGAATAAAGTTTGACAGAATAATCCTGACTCAAGGGCCACTTACTTTTTTTCAGAGCCTTCAATCATATCACACAGTCTTCATCAACAGAAGGAGATTCATCAGTTGTCATATGTGTCTGTTGAAGTGAAATGGGGGCCTAGTAGCTGTTATGCTTTAATCCATAGCACATTTATGGTGTTTTGTATGTGTTGAAGTAAAGCAATAAAGTCATTTATTCTATTTCAGATTATTTTGCCTTTATTTGACAGTCAGCAATGTAGAAACGGACAGGAAAGACAAACAGGGTATGACGTTCACAAAGGTGCCTGGACATCATTTTTAATTCCTTGGTATTCAGCTTAACCATTAGGCTACCAGGACACCATATCAGACACACACTTCTTCATCATGTTCATCTTCATCATGGACCTTGTTAAACTACTATTTCAAAGGTCAAAAGTCAACCTTAAGGTTTATCAGATAAATATATTTGCTGATATGTTAGCTTGTCCATGGTTATGTCCCATGTTGGATTAAGTCTCTGTATATCGTATTTTCTGTTTATGTGATATGAAGGATACTGCTAAACCAGCAGAAACAGATGAAAGAAAATACTATTTGAAACACGTTTTAACAGATTTGAACAGTTTTAGTTCAGATTTGAAGAATGCAATATATCAAAAAAGTGAAATTAGTTTTTGTTTTTGTCTGTGTATGTACTGTGTATGTGTAGTTTGAAAAACATAATTTTTGCGAGGGCAAAAAATATCTTTGTCTTTTCTCAACAAGAGAGTGTCATTTGTGTGGTTTTTATATATCAGTGTAGTACTGTATTTGAGATTATGCCTTTTCAATGATTAAAACAAGAGAAATGACAATGATTAGAACAACTTCTGTATGTGGGTGTCTGCACTCATCTTAGATCAACTGTGCAACATCTTAAAATACACTTAGAGAGAGTGAAAGAGGGAGCATTAAATACCCAGGTGAGAGACTCACAAAGAGAAGAGCCTGAGGGCTGACAGGTAAGCAGAAATAAGAACGTCAAAACAAAGCAGAGGGGATGGAGAGAAGGAGATGGAGATATTTTTGACAGAAGGTGCAGTGAAAACATGCCGACTGGTGGATAAAAGAGATGAGGAGAAGGAGGTATAAAGACCTTGAGGACAGTGTTCATCATGATGGTAAAATATTCTGTAAACATGTTGTGGTAAATATGAGATGAGGTAGAGGCCTGAACAAAAAGTGCCTCTGCTGCTGCTGCTCATGACGAAAATCAAGGAAAACAGTTTGGATAATGGAAGGTTTTTAAGGGTGAAGCAGCTCGAGGTTAAGGGTTGATCAACAGTGAAATTACTGAATAGATAAGGGAGATATGTAAGAACTGCTTGACTGGAGAGCTTGCGGCGATGAAGCGATGTGTTGCAATAGGAATAAAAAACATTTGTAATCTGTTTCTACAGTCACAAGGGAGGCTGACACACTGCGAGCATCTGTGCTGCAGGGGATGAGAAAAAGTTGAGAAAGATTATGAAAGAGATGAAGATTTGCTTCTAAAAATTAATATTTGAATTGGTGTATTCGTGTCCGTGAATGTGTGACAGAGAATCATGGGGAGTGGTGGCGGGTCACAGAAGGATTTTCATGACTTCGGCAGAGGTAATTAAGGTGTATCTATAATTTAACAGCAGAGGAAGCACATTGCTGGGGAGGGGAGGAAGACCACGGGGTGACTCTGCTAACAAGCTGTGACAGAGATCAGCAGAGAATCAGCAATGGAAAATATTCACTAACTGGATGACTCACTCACTGACTGACTGTTAAGGCTGACTGGTTGACTGATTACCTAATTGACTGTTTGATGACTCACTAACTCCTTCACTCACTGACTCATTGATTGGTTTTGTAATTGATCAATGTCTTCAGGCAGCCAAGTCAGGGTAGAATTGTGCAGGGTGAATTTATTATGTTCATGGGTATTTTTTTTATGCATTTGCCAATTTGTTTTTGCATTAGTCCTTGGAAGGGGTACTGATAAACACGACTAGAGTCTACTCCTATTCGCAGAGGCTGGCTACATAAGGCAGTACTAAGGCACAGCAGCACTTTGAGCTAAGTGCTAACATCAGCATGTTAACATATTCACAATGACAAAACATGGTGATGCTAAGCAGGTATAATGTTTACCATGTTTTCCATTTTACTTCAGCATTTTAGCATCTGCTCATTAGCCCTAAACACAAAATAGCCTACACCCGAGGATGATGGGAATAGTTTTATTTGATCATAAAGTATTGGATGAATTAAATTTTGACATGATGATCGCACTTAAATTAAGGGAATTCACCCTGAAGGGAACATGAATGTTTACCAAATTCCATAACAGTCCATCCAATAGTTGTAGAGACATTTCAATTAAAAAAACTAAGATGTCCACCTCATGGTGGCGCTAGAGGAAGAGTCAGGAAATCACCAAAGTCAGGAAGATTCATCCTCTGGGGGAAATTAATTTTTTGTACAAAATTACCACCAATAGCTGGTAGGTTATAAAATTTTTAAGTTATCTCAATGTCAGAATGACCTGTCCACTTTATGCTCCACGAGCAATCTGTTAAAACACCTGATCAGAAGACATGCCCACACTGAACAGATGGGAACATCGTCCCACAATGGCAAAGATCTGTTTATGGCTGAGGACTGAAGCAACTGACACATGGAGAAATGAGGAGAATTTTTATGAATTTTATAAAACCTAAAAGTAGGTAATGATTAATGTTCCTTTTAGAGTGATGGGTGCGGGAAATCAAATTGTAATTTTATGAGAGTGATAAGTAAAATCTAGTTACTTTCACAGCACTGGTTTTATGCTTATTAGGAAGAGCAGTAAATCTGGTGGTGTGATCTTTATGTGTAGCTTTAGTGATAAAAATACTATGACTTTAATTATATTTCTTTGTTCAAAAGACAGAGATTGTATGCCCAAAGGAAAAGATGGGAAATCAAGCTCAAGTGAGACAAATAATATTATGAATTGTTAGCAGTGGGAGGTTACGTGTCAGATCACAGTTCAGATGAGCCAAACGACGTGTGTGTGGGAAGATCAGCAGTCACGAATCAACATGGCCTTAATTAAAACTATGAGTAATCTATTATGTCTACATTGAAGATCAGACATTTTGTGGTATTATCTATATTAATACACACTCAAACATGTCAAATGCAAATTCTGACAGCAAAGATGCAACTAATCTAATTTGACTGCAACTAAATGAGGTTAGGCTACATACTGTAACTGTGTGTGTGTGAATGTGCGTGTGTGTGCGTGTGTGTGTGTGCTTATTAGAGTCATGCAGGTTTATGGTATCCCTGCAGTTTCTTAGTTGAGGTGTAATCCAGATGAGCTGACAGGTGTAAAGATATCTGTCACAATAAGCTGAGCTCACACACACACACACACACACACACCAACTCCACATATTGTTTTCTTTTATTTCTTGAGTCCAGGAATGTTGTCATAACCATTATATTTTTATTTTTTTATCCACCTATTTCACAATATCATAGAAGACCCATGAAGATGCAAATAAGGACAAGCGCAACACTGTCACAGCCTTCAACAACCAAAAGCAAGAGAGAGAGAGAGAGACAGACAGAGAGAAGGAGAAGAAAGAGACAACAAAGAAGAAAACATAAAAACATTTCACTATAATTTCGGGCATGAGAGCCCAGGCAGGCACTTTACAACTGGGTGTCAAATCGTATGTGGGGCTGATGTCTTGAGGTAATATGAGAACAGAAGCACTGACTGTAGTGCACAGTGTTGACTCGATAACATGTTTAGTGTAGTTGGCCAAAGTGGGAATCAAACCCTCACCCCTGACAGTGAGTGCCCTGCTCTACACTAATCAAGAGATTAAGCCCATACCAACTTTCCTCTTGTGTAAAAATATGTAACATTATCAGAGAAACATGATTATCTCACAGTCTCCCAACTGAAACCAAAGGACCAAACTGATTCTGGGCATCACAGTTTTAAGGTAATATATTTTGCCCACTGTACAATGCCTTGAGATGCCTCACTTTGTAATGTCTTTTGAGATAGCACCTGGTGCTCCTCGAGTTGGAAATGTGGCTACTTTGAGGTGCTCCAATCAGAAAGACATACGGAATACGTCATTTTAATTTGGCAGTTAGGTCCCATTCATGTCATACGGAAATTACCTTAATGTGTCTTAAATACAATTTACATTACCAGCCACGTTTCAACTATGACTATATATTAATAAAACTGGATTATTTAAAAGGGCCTATATAACACAAAAAGTCCAATGCTATTTTGATCACGTTTGCTATTTTTTCTACCTCATAACAAACTCTGCTTTTATTCAGAGTGCAAAATTAAACTATTACCTATTATTGTTAGTAGTGGCAGTTTTGGCCACACACATTTTATAAAAGGCATCAGGTTTTGAGGCAAATTAATGCAACATTATCTATTTTTTGCTAATATTTGTTTGCAAGTTGCTCGTACTAATCCTCTATACTGAGTCAGATGTTAATTACAAAATTGCCTCGTATTCTGTGAGAATTTACCAAAGAGACATCTGTGTGCTTCAGAGTGTGGGGCAATTTGGGGGACACCAACACTGTAATTTACACATTTTGTTTGTTTCTTTAGTGACAGGAAATGTGACTTTGCTCATGCAAATACACTTACATTCCATCTGGGTTTACATTCAAGGATACAACACAGTTTACTAAAGTCACTCAGGTTTGTCACAGTTTCTGTGTCTGAATGGTGCTTAGACTGACATCAAGTGTTTATTTCAGAGGTCAACTGAGATCCCTCCTTTTGTTCAAGCTGCAAACGAAAAGGCTGCAACTGAACTCAGACGGACTGTGAGTGGCGTGAGAGGCTACAGCAGGAGGGGAGCAGACTGGCACAGAGCAACATTAGCAGAGATACGTTACACAATATACATTTATAAGACCACTGTTTTACCAAATTATGGTACATATTCAATGTAGAAAACTTAAAAGCACACAGACATTACTCAACAGGATCATATACAGTTAAAACTGAACAAAACTCAGTTTGAGTGTTGAAATCAATATAACCATAATAGCATCTCAAAATTCAGCTTTAGCATGAAACACAACCAATTAGACACAAGATGAGGAAAGACAGAACGTTGTGTAACTTTGTTCTAAAAGTAAGAAACCCTTAGATATGGCACCATTAAAGGTCCGTTCCATAATGGCATTCAAACCCAACAAAGCCCTCTGCCTGAATAACCTTGTATGGTTAACTGACCCAACAGATTCTTACCTAAATCAGAGGGTGGTGCATTTAACCACAGCCAATTACACATCTATTATGGGATGTTTCCATAAGAGTCCTGTTCATGCCAGAAGTCGATCCACCCACGCAGCCTTCACTAAGGTGATTCTGTGACTAAACTCACTGTATCTCACTGCAGAAGTAAACACGAGTGTGGACACCAACACTAAAAACAAAACAGATACACCGCTCTTAGCAGCTTAATAGCTCCATCATATATGTCAGTCCACCAGAAAGCTTTCCATCCTCAACAAATTTACTGTAAACCCCAATGTGATACGTTGTTATACATCTGCTAAATTGTCTTCTAACTCGACCTATCAAACACGACCACCCTTGGCCGACCTCTCCAAGTAACCCTTCACTGTTTGGGGCTAGAGGGGTTGGATCTCTGGGCAGCATGGCACGGGTCCAGGGACTCCTTGGTGGCACCACCGTAGACATCCACGTCAATGTCGGTCCAGGGGGCGATGTTTCCCAGCGCTGAGGAGCTGCAGTCAGCCAGGGCGGCCACCTCTGCTGGCTTCAACACCCGATCCCAGAGGTTGAACTGGGAGAGCTCCCCGACCAGGGCCTGGGAGGCATCAAAATGACCGCCCAATGTATCCTTGGGTAGAAGAGTTGGAAAAAAACGAATGTGTCAGAATGCTAGCATGAATAGCAAAGAGATGTTCTACAGTCATCCATTAGGCCTTTTCCACAGCAGGAACATTTTCAGGAACTCTTTTAGGAACTTGGAAACTTTATGTGAGTTTCAACTGGAGAAACTAGGTTTTAAATTGAGTTTCTGTGCTGTAGGTCCTGCTGCCACCCAAAAGCCCATGCTTATTTAATTACTGACTGGTCAAAGAGGCTAGATGCTGCTACAGCTTGTATACAGGATTCATTCAAACGGTAATGCCTGATCGTTGCTATATGAGGATTTGAGATGGAAATTTAAAAGTGTTTATTGATGTTTAAACAAAGTTATGTTATTTACTTCCCAACTTCTCCAAGTGAGGAAAAAGATTACAAAGAACAAGGGGATTACTATGTTTTGTTGTCTTGTGTGAAACAGGTTGTTTCCATTATTAGTCTATTCAACTAATCCTCTTGGCGCTCTTTAGTCCCTGGAGCGATTTGGTCGAAACTGGGCCAGAAGTCCCAAAAGACCTTATCACAATGACATGCCATCCTGCCCATTTTTGGGCATTTATCATTTTTGGGGTGGGAAACTACCAATACTTTCCAAATACCACTAAAAATGTAGTAAAGACAAAGGTATCTTAAGATTTTGTAAGGGAATATAGTTGGCCCCCAGTTGCTTTATTTATTATGCATGCCAGCCCTGTAGTTTTCTCACTGTGAGTGTTACAAAAATGTTTAAATGATCACCAAAAGCCATACAGCTTCTGGTTTATTATGGATGGACTAATACTATATTGAAATTAATACACCATCTCCTGAAAACTACAACCCTTCTCAGGCTTTCGGTGCACAGTAAGTACTACTGTCCTCATCTCAACTGGTTAAATGAGAATAAAAATGCAGCAAATGGTGTGTAAATTGTGTAACCCTAACCCATACACAGAAATATTGTGTTTTGATGATTCCCCCTAAATAAGATTAAAAATGTTTATCCCTCTTCACATCACCGTTGTGAGGGGGATGTCCTTGGATTTTCCCCATAAAATCTGGTCAACACATCACAGCAATTCATCGTTCACCAACAGAGATTTATAAAGTGCTTGCTCTCTCGCTAAAAAAAATATCCATTAAATCATGTCTTGTTGCATCATTGCAGCATCTTGCAGAATTGGACTCCCAACTCCCTGTTTTTCATCTTTCATGCAAGAGTGATGGGCTGCAGAATCAGCTTTGGGTTGTTTTTTTGACACCAGGGAAGAGGGATAATGTCAGATTTCATAATGATTATGTAATGTGGATGTCTTGCTAATGAAGGAGAGAGGCAGCCCAGTGTTAGGATAAACACAATTAGGTTTCTGTCTGTTCATGTGTGAATAGCTAATGGTGCTCCCTTAAAATAGCTCTCCCTGTCTCACTATCTGTCTATCCATGTATCAAGCATCCACCTGCCCATCCATCAGTTTGTTCAACCATCCATAAACTGATAATTCTGGACATCCACCCATCCATCCATTAATGCTCCCATTTGCCTATCCATACATACATCCATAACTTTATTTACCCATCCATCCAATATATCTCACCTGCTCCTGTCCCAGTATGAGGACTCCTCCTGGTTTGATGGGATGCCAGGCAGCCAGTCCCTCTCCCCTCCCCTTCATCTTTCCCCCCTGGTAGGCCTTCCACACCCCGTCCCTCAGGGTCCAGCTGACACAGATGTGCTGCCACTCATCTTGTGGTAGGGACAGGGGCAGCTGTGCCACCTACAGATCAGGAAAAACAGTGGTTAAACCTTTTCTTTGCAAAGTGACTGAGTGACTTCAAGCCCACTGAGCTGCGACAGTATGGGCAATTATCGTGGCAGAATGTGGACACACTGATGGTTTATGTCAGCAAAACTACACTCTGTGGACGGTCCCACCTCCCTTCAACCGTGGTTTCAAACCCCCACTCTCTCTGCCATGGGAACTATAAGTGTAAGCACTATAAAAGGTAAGCATTAATGCACTATATAAAACAACAGCTGCAAAAAGCTTGCCTCTGTGCTGCCTCTCCTCAATAACATTTGTTTGCTGTGGGCTACAGCACTACAAATGTGAAAAAAAACAAGAACATGGGCTTCTCTTGGAGTCTCTCAGTTTTAATTTTTAATTAAAAATATTGATCATAGATCCAAAGTACTGTAATTGTGATTTCCTGTTGATTACATTCTGTGGTTAACATTTAATTTCTTGTGATATTTCTTTTTCTTTCTTTTTGTGATTTAAATATTTAATGTGTTGTACAAGGGCACTATCTGTTTTAGTCATTTTCTCTTTCAAGGGGCATAAATGTTTAAGTGGATCCAGAGAACCAGCCCCAAAACTAATATAAACTCTAATCCACATCACATTGATGGACACAATGATTGGATGCTGTGACATTTTCAATTGTACTTTTTGTTCTCGTCACTACTCATCTAACATGGCATGAAGAAGTTGGCGTGTCACAAGACTGTACATGTTTTCATAACTCATTTTAATGAATGAATTACAACAAGCCACCAATAACTAGCTTGCACCGTTCCTTAGAACAGCATATTAGGATAATGATTTCCTTGGCAGGCTATTTCGGTTGATGAAGGAAACCTACAGGGTACAAATATTAATTATTTTTACCAGAAGAAGCCATTAATTTCCAAACATAATATACAATTCCAAAAGAAAGACAGTTAATTTTCTTCATTTCCTACCACCACACTACATTTATCTTCTAAACACCTAACCACCAGGTATGAGAAATTATTTGAAAAAACACTCCCATCTACCTTGTCATTGATGAGCAGCTCCACAGGGTTGTGGACCCCCTGTAGCAGCACCAGCTCGTTAGGCTGTCCAGGGACTGAGTAGGAGAAGGGGGTCCCGATGCCCCCTTCTTTGGCTCTCAGCCATACACAGGCAGTGAAGGCATACATCTCTGTTATCTCTTTTCTCACCAGGCCGTACATGTAGTTGGTTCGCATGGGGAAGGAGAGGACAAAGCCATCCGGGAACGACGGCTCTGTCAGCGCTTTGGAGACACAGATGAAGGAGATAAAGAGAACGAGCCAGACGGAGAGAGAAATAAGGGAGACGGAGAGAGAAAACGGTGAAAGGACAATGCGTTAATGGCCAGTTCATACAAAGATACTGGTATTTCTCTTTTCACTTGTCCCTGTCAGTTTGTGCATACACACACACACACACACACAGTGCCTGGCAAGAGCTCAAGCGTTACAGTTAATGATCAGCCTCTCTAACTCGAGGCCACACTGCAGCTCTTAAGGGAGAGAAGATGTAGAGGCAGTCAGAGAGCTTGGGAGAATGACAAAGCTAAAAAGAGAATAGAGAAGTGCTTTATCTTTCCTTTTTAACCTTCCTCTTTGCACCTCATGAACTCTCAGTCTCTCCTCAAGGCTTCCACTTCTCCTATTATTAAACATATCTCAGTCTTTCAACTATCTGTATCCCTACTAGATGTACACCAACATACAGCCAAGGAAACTCTTCAAAACCAATGTGACATTCCCAAACTGCCAACTATAAAATAGAGACCTTAATATGAATTTAAAGATTTATAGGTAACAAGTAAAAGCGGCAAATTATTTAAAGCAATTTCTTTTTTCATTTCACTTATTTTTTGCTGTATTTTTTTTATTTCCAGCTCCTCGCCCTACTTGACATTTAACAACCTTCAGCACTCATTAATCATCTTATTTTAATCTACAGCTTATTCTCTACCGCTGTGATGACCCAGTTCACCCACAGTGCTCATTAAAATTTCATTTCAGCCTTCTCTTGTGATGCTCTCATGTACGTCAGCTTTGGCACTGCAGTTGTTTACTTCCATGTGTGCATCAGATCATCCATACATCCTTTCCTTCATTTATTTAGCCACCCCCATGTCTCTCCCTCTTTTCCTCCTCCTCTCTTTCCCACACACTCACTGTGTTCCAGCTCAGTCACGCGGTGGCTGACGGTGTCGATGCCTTGGTTGATCTTCTCGTGTTGGCCCTGCGTCTCCTTCCTCATGGCCTGACGCTCCTTCTCCAACATCTTAATCTTTCTCTCCAGCTCCCCCTCCAAGTCCTCCACCCTCCAGGTGCCCTTGCCGCGCCCAGGGGAGGCCTTAGACGGTGGCTTGGGGGCAGGGGAAGCGGGGGAGGCTGGACGGCGCCCCCCTGGGGGAGCCGCTGCAGGTGGGGAGGAAGCACTGCCAGTGGGCGGGGCGGGAGCCTTGCCGGTGTTACCTGCCGGGCTGCTGCTGCCACTGTTGCTGCTGCTGCTGCTACCTGTACCCACTGGTGTGTCAGTGAGGTTCAAGGCAGCAGGGCCTATCTCCGCCTGCAGCATAAGGAGAGAGAAAAAAAGATAAAGTGGGTGTTAAACACTCATAAAGAGAGGTGGATAGAGAAATCATAAAATAAATGCTGGGAAGAGAAGAAAGCATCTAATCAGATTAAAAGAGAGGGAAGCAGCCAGGGCAGAAAATCTGTTTTGGTTGTTGTTATAGTGGCAGTAGTAGTGGTAGACATAGCAGTAGCATTAATATTCATCTATTCAAGGGTTTTTCTATAGTGGTAATGGAGATTAGGATGGTGGTCAGTTGGTCGGTCCACCACTTTGGTCCAGACTGACAAATCCCAACAACTATTGGATGGATTGCCATGATATGTTGTACAGACATGGTCCCCAGAGGATGAATCCCACCCACTTTGGTGATCCCCTGACTTCTCCTCTATCGCCACTGGCAGGTTGACGTTTTTTTATTTTAGTTTAATATCTCAACAACTATAGGTTGGACTGCCATGACATTTTGTCCACATGTGTATTTATGAATTGTAAAATTTTGGAGATCCTCTGACTTTTCATCTGGTGCTACCAACAGGTCAAGGTTTTAATTTGTATAACACTTTACCTGCAAAAACAAATCACATTACCCTCATCCTCGTCCTGTATTTTGTGTTTACTGCGAATTTGCAAATTTTAGAATGCTAAACCAATGTGACGAACATGATATAACATTATACATCAGCAATGGTAACACTGTCATTATGAGCAAGTTAGCATCTAGCTCAAAGCAAGGGTTGTTTTTCAGTAATAGTAGCTGTTGTTGTAGTTTTGTAGTCATAGTATGTGAGGTAGTATTCACACTTAATGCATACATATTCATCTTGTTTTTTTCTTTTCTGTTATTTCTGTTATTTGTATTTTCTGATTGCTTTGTGTGCAGATTAATGTTGTGGAGCTTCCTGTGTATTGAATCTACAATTGGGAACAACATTAATCATGTGTACTTAATACATAAAAAGCACACATGTCCTCTTTTAATATCATCATACGCTCTGAGTTTCCCTCTTATCATTTTTCCCAGTGAGGGTCTAAAGATCAAAAGCTTGGCTTTTTAATGATTTTTTGGATTAGACTAAAGCGTGCAGATTTTTCTTTTGTCAAGATTAAATGAATGGTCCACTTCAAGGCATGGACATCTTGGACTTGCTAAATGCGTGTTGACCAGGTTTCCAATATCACTGATTATATCAATTTAATTAAGTATTGTCTGTTGGGAAGATTGTAATTATCCTGATTGACTATTGATTGGTGAGCAATATAATCTTTGGTCCCAGCATCTGGTCCACATACTGTAAGCTGAAGGCTATTAGTAATAATTTCATTGATTAGAGATAAACACAAGAAAAACATTGTGAGTGCCTACCCTACTTATTTGTGAATCGTGTGGACCTTTGTTCCAGGCTGTTGCACCCTAGAGGACTTATATCCTAAGAAATGTAACAAAAAGGAAATGAGAAGAGCCCATTACTGTTTTCTTTGTATAAATAGAAGCATATTACTGTACATGTTAGTCATAGTGTTGGTTTTAAACTGAAATGAAGCTGCAGGAAAATTAGCAAACTGATAAAGCAGCAACACAGTGAGAGGTGTTATATTGATGATAGTAGTAGCCCAGCAGTGGCGGTATTAGTATTCATAGCAGAAGTTGAAAAAATAAGGTGTTGGTGAAGCAGCAGTAAAGAGAGAGAGAGATGCTGCTGTTAATGTGGATGAGACGGCTGCGAGGGCGATATAAAATATCAACAGAGTTGCTGAGGCAGGACTGGATCTGGACGTCCAGGATATAAATTCACACTGGAGACAACCTTGTAACTGTGCTTAGAGAGGGCTGGCAGTGATGCAGCAGTGTGTGTGTGTGTGTGGTGTGTGTGTGTTTGTTGTGTGTGTGTGTGTGGTTATAAGCCTGACTATGTCTCAATCTCAGCACACACACAAGCTGAGAACCTGACTCCCCCCCACCGCCACCCTCTTTCCTGTCCAGCCAGCTTCATCTTTTATGTATGTCTCTATCCTGCTGTTGGATGCGGAGGTAGAGGGTAGAGGCGGCTGACACCATGGGGGTGCTGTGCAGAGGGGTGGGAGGGCCAGCAGGTGGAAAGATTTCCCATGGGTCCATGGGGAGCCTGCGCAAGACATGAGTAGTGCCTGTGTCACGAGTCGCTTGTCAGAGGAGAGGTGAGGTGAAGATAAAAGAGGGAGAGAAGGATAAAGAGGGGGAGGGTGTTGTGAGAAAGATCAGGCCACCTTAGATCTAAGATGATGAACACGCCACTGCACAGGCCTTTGAATTATCTCACTGCCATTCTTTCTGTATGTAGTCTGTGTGGAAATGAGTTGAGGCACTTTTCTAATATGAATCTTTTCATTTTGGTAAAGCCAATAAGAAATTCTGAGAGGATTACTCTTCTCTTTTACCACAGAGGTCTTAAACTCTACAGTGGATATCAATGTAACATTGGGACAACTGGTTGTTCAATGGACCAGACACAGGCCAAATTTAGTCACTGGACAAGTGACTCACCTGGCTAATTCACAATTTTGGTGTCATCCCAAAATCTCCTGCTGTCAAACAAAACTCAAACAGAAGGGTAAACAGCAAGAACAACAGCCTTTGCCAAAGTTTGTCAAGCCTGTGCTCAGTGAAGTTTCAGTTACCTCGAGTTTCTCAATGCGGTCCTTCAGGTCCATGATGGCCCTGGCCAGCTCCTCCACGGCCCGCGCCGTCTGCAGCTGCGCCGCGGCGGAAGAGCTCACATCATCCCCGGCCATGACTCTGCGGTTGCCGCTCCATACCCCGATGCTCCGCTCCGGCACGTTCCTCTCGTCCTCCAGGCCGCTCTCGCACTCACTCAGCTTCCCCGTCAGCTCCCGGATGGTCCTGTGGTCCATGAGGATCTGGTCGTTCTGCTGCAGGACCATCTGCCGGAGTTCCTCCGCCGTGGTCCGGAGATAAGTCCAGTCTTCATCCCCGGCACTGTACGGGTCGTCCGCTTGCTGCTGCTGCTGCTTCTGCTGCTGCTGCTCCCTTCGCTGCCTCAGGTCTTTGGTCTTGCATTCTCCGACTGGTACAGGTGTGCAGATCAACCGACTGAAGCTGAACTGCTTCGCGGAGCCTCCGCCTGTCTCCTCTCCGAGGTTGAGCTCGTTCAGAGTGGGAACCTCCAGGCCGATGCCGCCCAGCCCGTTCCCTCCACCGTAGGACTCGGCGCCGTGCAGAGCGCCCAGCGGCCCGGCATGGGCCACCGATCCGGACTCCAGGGGCTGGAGCAGCGTCTCCGATGTCAGGGTGCCGTTGTCGCTGAGAGGCGCGCCGCTTTTCCGGGGATAAACACTGGCGATGATGCAGATGACCGCGCCGAGGAAGGCCAGGGTGCCCGCTCCCACAAGCACCACCACGAACTTCATTATGACTGTAAAGATTGATGCAGAAGATCACGGCTCAGAGGGAAAGGCTGATATGCACACAACTGGAAACAGAAAAAATACTGTCGGCTACAGATAGCAGCATCACTCCGCACAGCAGCGTGTAGGAAGACCGCATCACCCGAACATAATCACGACCTACTTTGTCGATTAACTAAACTCAAGCTTACTCCTCTGTAGATTAACTACCAGTGCTGTTGTTTGCAGTAAAAATAGAAAATGTGGCACTTACATAGAGAAGATGTTTGCCAGAGGCGCTGCTGTTTTCCTCCTGCCGCCCTCTGTGTGTAATACTGATGGCACCGCGCTGTCTGGACCAGAGATGCTCCCTCTCCGTCTCGGTGTTGCTAAGCTGCTCTCCTCCGTGCGTTACCATGGGGACCGTGGGGAGAGGAGGAGCGAGGCTTTGGGCATGCGTCAGTCAGAGCGGAGGTGAAGCTCCAGCAGCAGGATGAACAAACAAGGCGGTGATGTATCGATCTGTGCAGCGTGTGTGTGTGTGTGTGTGTGTGTCTGACTAAGGCTACATATTTCAGTATAAAGACCAGTTAATTGGGGACAAAAACCTTGTCACCAGTTAGGAAAAGACTGAAGTTTCCAGGAAATGAATGTCCCCAAACGTGTCCTAAGTGAATGTGTGCATGACATTTTTGGATATTAATATTATTTGACAGTGTTCTTACATGATTTAGTAATAAAATAAAGACGTTTTGACACTGAATCAATCACAGAAACCTCAGTGCAAAAATGTAGACATCAAATTAAAAATTTAAAAGTCAAACCAGCTTAAGAGGAGCCTACCAAGTCCTACAAATGTAGAGTGCACACCACACACATCTGCAACGACACAGTTCAACATGCTTGGTGTTGAAATAGTCTTAACTTGACAAACATACAATATGTGCAGCCTTCGTACAGTTACAGATGTGGCAATAACAAAAGGTCAGCTTACAGTGAGCGACAGAGGAAAGAAGATACTGAACAGAATAAGAAGGAAAAACACTGAACGCTGCGACCTTAAACACAAAGGTTTGTGACTGAGTAGGAGGAATAACACATTTTCCCCAAGAGACACTTTGCTAACTAAAAACTCTCCACTGATGCCAACAGAAATGGTCTGACCCTGACATGCTTCTTCTCTGTGGCCTTATTCAACAAACAAATATTTTTGCTCAAAAACTTCTTTTCACAGGGTGGAAGGTTTGCATTTGATTTTAGTTGAAAATGAAATAGAGGCAATTCAAAACCGTGCCTGGGAAAAGGCGCATTGCAGATCTACTGCCAATCAAAGAAGTGAACCTGCTAATTAGCACACAATTAAAAGAAAACTCCATCCACACTTACCCTTCAGTATCAATGTGTGATATTTAATTAATACAAGCAGTTTCTTTTGCCAGAATATATTTTGTTGGTGAACAAACTTTCCATCCACCCACCTACACTTCACTTTGTACATTTCCCAGAATACATTTACATTAACTTTGAGTGACAGCAGTAGAGCTTTGAACTAACTGCTAACATCACCATGTTCATTAGCATGTGAGGACTAAATATTCTTATTAGCATTAAACCCAGTACAGTTGAGGCTGATGAGAATATCATTTCTTTCCAGTATTGTGATCAGTGATTAGTGATCATGAACCAAAGTATTGGACACATTATAATTTTGACCTGCATGATAGAGCCAGATGAAAAGCATGCAGATCGGGTATTGTCATATAATCCAAACTGGCCCCTTTTGAAAAAAGTTTAGACACCCCTGAGCTACACCATGATTACCATGGCTGAAATGTGAATGTAATGCATAGAATGTCTTGTAACTGCATACAGCATTTTGGTCTATTAAGGCAACTTATGTGGCACTGAAATCTATGTCTGCATCTTCTCTAAGTCATTTTTCTCTCTTTAACTGCTGTATTGCTGCTGTATTTTAGAACTCTAGAGGGAAGCTGCCACTTTTTGATTCTGAAAGTTTTATTTCCTGACATAACCTAACCTGTAAAAGGGCTAAAATATTTGCAAAACTGCAGAGAAAAGTCCTTTTCACCTTTCTTCTTCTTAGTTCTTACTGCATTTCTAATGCAAGGTTTACAAGGTTTTAATCTGTCGTGGACGCTGGGAGGTGAATGTGCCCTGCCAAGAAAAAGTCAAGCTGTCAAGCTGATTACTCCCCATAAAACCATAACCTGTTATTGTTTTTTTTTTATGGATCCAACAAACCAGATATATCGTGTTATTTAGCGAATGTTAGAAGCCCTGTTTCCAGTCTTTATGCAATGCTCAGCAAACCAGCTCCTTTCTGGTGGCAATCTCATATCTACCGTACACACATGAGAGTGGGATCATCTTCTCATCTAACTCTCAGTTGCATTTTTACATGCAGACTACAACTCTGAATTGCAACTGCTTAAGAAAGCCATCAAAGTGGTGGTTTTCATCCTCAATTTAAACTCTTTAGGAACAAATAGGACATGAAAATATTCAGAATGTCTGTCTTGAAATGAAGCTCAAATATCCACCACAGTCAGAGGCTCAAACACCAGTCCACTCAGGCTTCCCCCCGCAGAGACCAGTAGCCTAGATTATGGATTAATCTCCAGAGGTGGCTGATGTCGCACGCACATACACACACTCGTACGCACACACACACAGATGTGGGCCACTCGTTTCAAACCACGATGACTATTTTAGCTCCATCTGGCTCAAAAGCCCAGTGGTATCCTGCCAGGAAGGGAACAGTCAAGAGAGAGAAAAAGGGAGAGCAAAGAGAAAAGAGACAAGGGACCTATGTGTCGCCTGTCTTCATCACTGTTTACGTCTCTCTCCTTTTTACATACATTACAACAGTCAAATAAAATAAAACACTGCCTGTGGAAAAGAAAGTTGTTTGAACTGGATGTATGTGTTCATCAAAGCATCAAAACTCAGATAAATACCCAAGCGTGATGACCTTAGTCTCACCCCAGCTTCACAATCCCTCTGAAAACAGAGACTGCTCTGCTATAGGTGGCTCAACAGGGCCTCTCTGTGGAACAGTTGGGAACTACAGCAGAAACATCAGTGTCAGTAGGAGAAATAGAAGTCAGTCCGTTTTAGTTTTTTACTTCATGCTAAAGTTTGGACTGCATGTACTTGTTATACCTTGTACACTTTACTTAAAATCATATCACTATGTGTAATGTGAAATGAAAAGTTGTTGGTGAAGCAGCATCTTTTTTTAAGCTTCACTTTCAACCACAGCAGCAGCTATTCTCAGCTCTGATAAACCTCCACTACCTGCTGTCCTTTACAGCACCAAATGGCAGACAGACTCAGTTAACAGCTGGTGAACACACTGTAGTGTGCAGCACCACATATTTCCCTCAAGAGTTGATGGAGACCAACAACATAGATAAAAGGACTGTGAATATAGGACTCCATCATAAAGATTCACCAGGTGGCCTGAAACACGACTCCAGATTAGTGCTAATGTTGCTCTGTGTCTGATCAATGTGTATTTAGGCAACACATTTGCTGTAACAATTTTATAAGTTCATAATATGTCAGTGTTATTTTTCCAGTCTATTCCTCTGCCCCTAAGTGGGCAAAAAAAAAAATCAATTAATGCAGCCTCAAGGTCGATCGAAGTTTTTTAAATTGTATGCGGTTTTAGATAAAAAGCACCTCAGGGACAAACAAATTCACCCTTGATTTTCTTTTATTCACTCCACTTATTTTTCTGTTCATTATCAGCCATTAGGAGACATGGCAATGTTTACCGATGACATACTAAAACAGGATAATTCTCTTCCGGCTGCAGTATTGCTGGACTATCTTGCACTCAACACTACATGCTGATTTTTTGCCACTAAATTGATTTGTAATGCTTGCCACTTACTGTTTTCATTGTGGGTGAATTACAAAAAGAAATCTTATATCTTATCTTATACTGCTGCTGCTGAGGCTATCATCTTTCATGCAGGTCAGTTCCTTTCACCTGCAGCGCACCCACTCACGCCTACATCCGAAGTCGACACAGAAGCAATAAAATATGAGACGACAGCTGAAAAATAACAATAAAGCAAACTGCTTTAAGAGCTTTTAATTAAAAGCCTTGTACAAGAAACACACACAGAAAGCAACAACGGTAACAGGTAACATGACACTGAATACATAATCTGTACATAAGGGTTTGCAAAACATGCTTCAGAAGTTCAGATACATTAACAATGTCATCATTAGCCTCCATCTCGTCATCATTACCATCAATACAATATACATAATTCATATTAGCATTAAACCAGATAAAACTGCAGTCCTGACACATTAAAATCAGTCAGTTTGCCTTCTGATAAAACCCATATTGGACTACTAAAAAATGGCATTCAAATAAACAGCATCACATTAACATTATTATGCATATTTCAAAAAAAGTATTAAAGTACAGTACAAAGGAAAAAAGGCTTAAAAAGCACAAATTCATTAAGCATCTTTATCCATACATTTAAACAAGGATCCTTCCTTTTTTCCAATTAGTGCCACATAAATTTAGCACTTAAATTACATCACATATAAATGTAAAACAATTCAAAAAGGAAAAACAAAAAGGCTTAAAAAAGTCAAATAATAAAATCAAGAGCCCTATTTGGTTGAAAGATAGGCCACTAAGTTGAGTTGTGCTACCCCATATGAGAAAGAAAAAGAAGAAAAACATTGCTATCAACTGTTGGAAACATCGCCTAGCAGCCTAATACCTCACACATCTACCAACTGCAAGAGTCACTTCTATCCACCACTTAAAGATATTAAAGATATAGAAGATGAAAAAATCTATTCCAAATCATATCCATTTGGAGAAGAAAATAATTCTTCATCTGTTTCTGGAGAATCGAGGACTCAGTCAGTTTTCACTTTGTTAAATAAGCATTTCAGTTAAGTACTGTCCTTTTCAAAAGTACCTCAATTTGAAGTTGAGCTTGAGACCATTTCGTTTCTTCATATAATGGATGTGTCATTTTGGAATAAATCCTTCCACATGTAACCTATGAGTGTATTGAAACAGTATTGACAACAACTAGAACCATCCAGTACATGACGGGAGAGGAGGCGACATCTTCCTCGTCTGTGTTAACCAAGAGCTAGAGAACGCTGTGTTTTTAACTTTAGAAAATGAGACATCAGAAGCCTTGAAAGCCTTTTACTGTCTGCAATATTGTACCTTTTTACCACCGAAGACATGGCAGGTAATGAAGTATGTTTTTTTTTTTTTCAGTATGTAAGAGTCTGAGTAAGACGAGGTAAACGTCGCCTGGAGTGCAGCTGGGGTTGAACGGAGCAGCTATAAGGCAACACATGCGGAAGATTTTTTAAATATTGTAACACACAGGTAACACCAGAGTAAGAGCCAAGGTCTGGGAAGGTCTAGAAAGAGCAGGCAGCACCAGAAAAGGGTTTAGATTTTGTGTATAAAGGGCCAGGTTTAGTTTGATGTACTTTGAACACTCAAGCTTTCAGGCATTTAGCTGGAAACAACCTGCAGTGAATGTGCTCGGCAGAGGTTTGCAGTCAACAGTCATGGGCAATGGACCACCAGACTACCTCACATGACTGAAAGAGAGCACACATGATGTATTTGGAGAAAACAACAGTGCCAACATCCTTTGCTCTCTGGTCAGGAAACAACAGGTCCTAAGTCGTAGGTTGTTGCCTTGGTAAAAGGTAAAAGCAGTAACACTTGATCAAATGGGACAGTAAAAATGAAGCAACTGATCGATTGTAACCCGGTAAAGTGACTGGAGAAGTACAGAGTATACACATTCATCAGCCACAGACCAAAGATCATTTTATTTCCCACTAGAGAAACCAGCATTTTTCATGTTTGAGCCTGGTACATAAATGCTGCAATCTCTGCACTCTGTAACCACAAGTAAGGAAACTAACAGGTCAGAGGTCAGGTTCTAAAGCCAGGACATAGTGCTTTGCTCGCAGAGACTTAAGCAGTAAAAATGCAGGCAAAAAATGAGCCCAAATGAAGCTATCTGGTTCAAGGACATTGTTCCTACCCCTTCATGCAGACATTTGTGGCTGAAACACAATGCAGCGCGAGTAGAAGTGTAACCGATTTTCACTTGAATTTCAAAAACATGCACCCCATTTTGTTTTAGAGTGGGCCATAATTAGCTAGTGGCAATACTGCAACACAACAAAGAAATAGGACACAGTTTTCTTGCTGTAAGCATTGGCAACAAAAAGGCAAACATGCATGATACTAATAAGAGGCAATGACAACTGGTGGCAGTAACTTGTAGTCTGCGATGCATTTTAACATACTATTAACTGCTGAAATCCCCCAACTGTGCTCCAAAAACCTTAGCAGAGATACTGAAACTTGTCATACTGTTGCTTCTGAAATGACCTGATTGGCAATATTCTTCACCACAGATGATGTACAGAGGAAAACTGAAGCTGTGTCCAAATAGTTAAGAAAATGGCACCTTAAATGGAAAGTTCTACACAGATTCCATCAAAGTTGTAAAAGTTTCTCCAAAAATTCCTCTTCTCAATTTTACAGATACTAAAATTTCAACCACATTTCTGTTGTACATAAGGATATATATAAAAGAAAGAAACACTGGCACAGTAACCCATTACCATGCCGGACAGACAGTTAATAAATTGACAAAAAAGGACAAAAAACTTTGTCCTCAAATTCCTGGCAGCCTTGGACTGGTTTGGCTTCACTAGCCCTACGGCCAGCAGGAGGAGACTAGACCACGTCTATTTCAACTTGAGAATATACTAATAAAGCTAAAAGACTGACCAGCAACATTGGTTTGCCCTACCTAGTAAAGTGGAAGGTAAAGAGGCAAACTTACCAGCTCCTACTGATTTTTACAAGCCAAAACTGCCTAGATACATGTTCCAAAGACAACTGCTGAGTAGCTCAAAGGTTCAACAAACTTCTGTTTTTAGCTGCATTTGTTTGGTGGCTTTAGCCTGAAAGTGTGTTCAGCTCTTGGACCTTCTAGACCTTGACATGTTGAGAAGTTACATGGCATAATGTTCACAATTAACTTCAGGCCAGTTTAGAGTCTTGGTGGACGTCAGAGTTGAAGAACGTGGTGGGTTCATGAGAAAACAATGCAAGCAGGGAAAGATGGCAAGGACAGCAATAACTTAAAGACTATTGTTTTTGTATATTCTTTTGCAGCTTTTAAGGTTGTGCGTGCATATAAATACTTACTCATACTATATGTATATGCATGTGCGTTCAAGAGAGCAAGAGGAAAAGGCCTTGAAAAATGTATGAACTACATAAAATAGGTCATTTTTAAATGCAGTCAAGTGCATTGCATTTACCTCGCTGTATTGATGCAATATATGAGAGTCCAACTGTGTTAAGTGCAAAAACACATCACCTCATTTATCATTAACAAGCTGGACTTCCAAAGAGACAAGGGGGCAGGAAATTGGCATAACACCTGAAGGCTGTCAATAACAGCCTTCGCAGCAGGGCCTGAATCTAAATAGTATTTGTTTCTTTCACATACGCCAAATGAGCTTGATAAACACACACACCAGATGGGTGAGTGTTTCGCTTTTTGGACAATTTTCTATTACACCAAACAAGCTAAGCTCAGCATGTTTGAAGCAAGTGAAGGAAAACAAATACAATTTCCATCCAAGTCTGCTTCAAAAAAGAGTCAGTGCTGTGCAAGTGGACAAAATATGGCAATTTAAGTGACAAGAAGGGCGTATTAGCTGCCCCTTTTCAAATGTATACACTTCTCTTTAAAAAAAATATGCTCTTCTCTTACTATTCAATGGCTGGGCGGTGTTAAATTACATTACATTTCATTGTTACACAAATATGGACGCACCTTTAAGGAAAAGGTAGGGAGGGGGCTGACGTGGCAACACTGGCATGATATTTTTTCTATCATCAATGGCAATAGACTTCATAATATCTGATCTCCTATGGCTTGGGGGGAGAGGGGTCATCATTAGAGGTGGCGTTGGGGGGAGGGGAGGAGGCATCTTCGGGGCTGGCGGAGGGCGAGCCGGGGCAGGAGGCAGGGGAGGGGAACTCTTTTATGGTGACGGTGACGAGGTTGGTGGTGACGTCCGTGACCACAACATCCTTGCAGCTTGGCGCCATTTCAGGGTGCCAGTCGGGGTCTCCCTCAGCGGGCACCCTTTTGGGTTCGGCGGGGGCGGGGCTCTGATCCCCCGGGGTGACAGAGGAAGGGGCGGCGGGCAGTTGGTGGCGGGCAGGTTTAGCCCTGCGTTGGCGAAGATTCCTCCTGCCTCCCTCTGGGGGCACCGAACGGTCTAGGGCACCCTCCTCCCCGTCGTCCTCCAAGGAAGAAGAGGGTGAGGAGGGGAGGAAAGGAGATGCTGAAGCTGCAGGGTCTGCATCTGAGGACGGGACAGGAGCAGATGGCTTGGCGCTCTGGCCCTTCTGGGTCTCTGTGTGAGGTTTACTAGACTTGGGACCCTCGCTGGAAGCTGAGGTACCTGTGGAGGGCTGGGACTGAGAAGCTGAGGCGTTGGCGGGAGATTTTCCTTCAGAGCCGCTGGAGCTGGAAGGAGAAGGAGGTGACTGGTACTGGGAGGAAGTGGAGTTGGTGTCCCTCGCCCTCGTGCTGGAGCATGACCCTGGGTGGGAGGGAAAGGGCACGGGGCCTCCACATTGCAGCCCAAATGGCTTCCCGTACATCGGGAACCCCAGCATCTTCAGAGGAGGCTGGAAAGGTCTATAGGGTGCCTCCCCCTTCTTCCCGATGATGCGATTGCGGGAAGGGATGTTTTGCCGTCCTGCTGTAACATTCCTGCTGCCTGCAGCTGTGCCACCCCGGCCTGGCTTATCAATGACCTTCAGGTTGAGAATGATCCGTCCTCTCTTGACCTCCCGGGGTTTGACTCTTCGGTTAAGGATGCGGACGGTCTCGGAAAAGGGAGAGACGTGCAGGCGGGAGGGGAAGCCACCGGGGGTGGAGAAGGTGGTCGCCATGGGGTCTGGGCGGGGGAGAGGGCGCCTGGACATCCGGTGGCAACGGTGAATGTCTTTCTTCAGCTTGTGGGTGGCTGCAAGGGAGTTGAGTTTAGGAGAGGGTGCCACGGTTGAGGAAGAGGAGGACGAAGATGCTAAATGATGAGGTGAGGCAGAGGAGGAAGGAGCTGCTCGGCTGGAAGTGGACAAAGAGGAGCGCGATGTCTGTCGGGCGGTTGAGGCTCGGCTGCCGGTCCCACCTTTCTGAGCACGGGCCTAAGGAGATCAGAGCGAATTAAGAACCATTTTTGCAGGAGTGTGAGCACAATGTAGGTAGCACAATACCAACTCAGTTTCCCATCACTAAAAAGAAGCCTAAAAAGCATGGTTTTAGTGTTTTGCAGGCCAAAGGATGCCTGGTGATATATAGTAGGGCTGCACGATAAGGCAAAAACATCATATTGCGATTACCATATGATTCACAATTAGGGTATTCTTACTTTAAGAGAAGAAATCACAGACATAACTTTCCTGAGCAATAGTACCTATCAGGGAAGATATTGATGAAACGGATTGACAAATTATGGCTATAATTACCAGTATGCTATTATTTTCTAATTAAATAAATAAATTGTTGGTATAAAGTGCTCATCGTGTATTAGTGGAAGGCTTGTTTTTTCAGCTGTTGGTGTGTTGCAGTGTTCACAAACCCCATTTGAGATTGAGAAGCTCATCTTCATGCATAAACATGAAAACAAGCATAAAAAAAAAAACTGTACCTTCATGACAAAGTTTTTGGGCTTTGGTCCCCGTTTCTTCGGCCCATGCAATTCCCTTTCCCGTTCCCTATAAAAGGGGAGATGACGGTTAAGACAACACAGATCACAAAGTAGAGACAGTCTAAAAAAAAAGAACACCACAATGACAGCAAACATAACCAATCAATGGGTGTGTGAAAGTAGCAGTGGCACAGAAAACATCTGACGCCGTGTGCGTACTGAGCTAGATTCAAGTGTTCGTTTTAGTTTCCATTTGATGTGTCTTTTTAGTTTTGCTTGTTTTATGGCGTCCATTTTAGTTCACTGTAAACATCTACTCTTTGTGAGCTGCACAAGGCTTTCAAGTGGCTTGGCAGCAGACATAAAGGGCTTCAGCTCTGATGTACGTTTTACAAAAAGGAAGAGAAGAGTGGGAGAATGTACAGATGCTAACAGATAAGGTAAAAGCAGAAGCACTTAGAGTAAGATACGTGAGCGGGAGCATAAAGTAAGGACATAAAGCAATGTGAAAAAATAAGACTAAGAACTAAACCAAATAGACAATTTTTACATAAGTTACACAGCAACATAAGTTATGAGACAAAATCCTAAGTATAACAAACAATGATACTCTAATCACACATAACACTGCAAAATGAGATAAATAATATTTTGCACATGGTCTTTGCACTCTCATTATGTACCAACGTTACTCACTTTTGCTCAAAGCCCAGTATCAGCCTGTCATCCAGTATATTCTCCTCTGGCTCCCAAGTGCTGTGCCTAAACAAGGATGGAGCGACATGAAGAAATACACACATCAAAGGATATTTTAACCACAACAGAATTTTGCACCAACATGGAATTAAGGCAAATTTTCAGTTTAATAAGAGGACATTAAAACAGCATATCACGGACAAAGAGCTCAGAGCCCAAGGGTTGTCAGTTTCCATTTAAAGTCCACATGAAACAGACATCAGAGTGCCATTTGCTTCGGCATATTTCCGTATTTCCTGTAAAAATCAGGCAGCTAGGGAGGGACAATAGTGCTGTGTGTTGCATCCTCCCGGTCAAGCAGCTGAAGCGGACCCATTAGCTGACTCTGCTGGGACTGGAAGCAACCAGTGAGCAGCACCGGGACTGAAAGCAGCATCCGATGCTGATGGAGGACAGTTTGACAACAGGGAATAAAGTACAGAGGTGTTCTTTTCTTTTGTTTTTTTGCCGGGTCTGTCTGCTGATATTATTGGCTGAAATAGGTTAGTTCATGCTTATGTAAGCACAAGTCACATTTTGTTTTACATGAAGACACAATGATTGGATTTTGATATAAAAATACACAGTAATTTAGTTTTTTGGGCCTACATTGTTAAATAGGAACGCTTAAAAGGGTTAATATGAACTTTTTGTCCTAACCTGGACTTTAAGTCAAAGTTAAGCACTTACTTCATTGCCCATCCTTTCCATTTTACCAAGTATTCAAGTCGTCCCTACAAGAAAAAGACAGATTGTGGATTAACAAAAACAGCTCATATATGACAACAGGGACTTT